AAAAAAAGAGAAGCGGGCTTAATTTGCCGCTTAAACAAATTCAATCAGATGGACAGAGTAAAACAATTCTGAATTACCTGGGCCAGTGTACTCAATGATTATGTTCTGAGGCTGTTAGGTTGACACCACCATCGCAAGTCAGCAAATCACCTGGACCGAAGTTCCTTGAGAACTTGGTTATGTCTACTTGAGCTTCATGTGGATTTTGGGAAATTTTAGGTGCTTTTTTTTTTCTCTTATTATTATTATATTATTTAGAAGTGGATGAGACGGTGGATATGCTGTCCAGCATTAGCTCGAACCTGGGAAATGACCCCAGCTGTACTGGGGTTGAATCGTGAGGATCAGGGCCTCGATTCATTTCTCTGGAATACAAAGTCGCCGACTTTCCAACCAAAAAAAAAAAAAAAAAAAAAAAAAAAAAAACCCTCTCACCACCAGGCAAGCACAGACACTCAGGTGCACTATTCAAAGACAGCAGGGCCCCTCTAGCGTCTTCACCCAAATAAACACAATGCCTGGTCATTATACTAGCCATATTTAAAGCACAGTCAGTGGTGGTTTATAGCCGTAATAAATAAAACAACTAGAGGTGCCTGCAGGCCCGATGTAGTGTTGGTTTAAACCACAAGTATGACTGAGGTGCGTGAATCTCGTCTATTTTCTGATTAGTAAGGAACGCTGCACCCAGTTCCCAGCACGTGCTGCACCTCCCATGAAAAAAAAAAAAACAGAAAAAAAAAAAAGCTGCCTGAATCGATGTGTAGTGAATCCAGTCTGACAGATAGTCAGAAGTCGTCAACTACCTGTAGAGTCGGCATCTGCAGCACAGTCTCCAATTCGTGAAGAAATATATGAAACAGTATATCTCATTATCATCACTAGAAGATAAAGAGTGGAGGGGGAACACACAAAGGAGAACATCAAGAATCACACAATAATCCCTGCTGGACCCTCTCCTTCTCCGGGCTTCCGGGCTTCTCCCCTCTTCACATCAACAATCATAATAAGTATATCCCTGATCACACATGGAAGTGCCACGTGGCACTCAAATCTCATGAAGACCATGAAGACATTGCAGATTCCAGTATCGGCTTCAAACTCAAATGAGTACCCGTTCTCCCTCAACCACAGATCCCGATCTTCCTCCTTCCTTGCAACCAGTCACCTCATGTAGACAACCTGAACAATGCCACGTCAACTATCGGAACAGGTGGTAATAGCCATGTCACCAATGTAGACCAGTACCAGTGCCACATCAGTATGCCACGTAGACCAGAGGCAGCGCCACGTATACCGGAGGCAGCGCCACGGCAGC